AATACTCTTAGAGTCTTCGTGTGATTTCTATAATATACAGTTCCTTAACTCTCCCTCATCTGCTCTGCTTCCCACCATAGACAGTGGGTACTATATCCCTCCCTTTCCCACCAAAGAAAGTGGTAGTATATCCCTCCCCCTCCTGCCTCCCCCCGCCTCCAAACCACAAGAGGGACAACAAGGCGAAGTAGCACAGCGGCATAATCCCCCCATCAGATGCCCAAATGGTCATTGATCGTTGAATAATGTGAATCAAGACAAACTGAAGACACAGTGAGGAACAGAGCGATGGCACTGGCCAGACGCTCTGACAACACAGTGAGGAACAGAGCGATGGTACCGGCCAGTCTCGACAGAGAGGATAAGAGCAATACTGGGCAGATGTGCCGGTGCCCAAATGTTATTCTAAGCAACAATCCAAAGTTTTCCAAACCCAATGGTTCAAACTCAAAAGATAATGCCGGAGTTTTCCCTTTCTGAGGTGCTGTTTGGTCGCACCAGCCAGGAAGGAAGATTGTATTCGCGCCTTTGAGAATACAGGAGAATGGGAAGAGGCAGGGGACAGGGTTCATCGAGAAAGCCGAAATGTGAACGACCATCACCACGGGGAAACAGAGAGACACAGGCATCTGAAAGACAGCCACCCGCGTGATAGTGTTGGCGGGCACTCCTTACGACGAGGCACCGACTGTTTTGCACAACAACCTAAACTTCCTAAAGATACTCGAATTCGGCATTTATTTATAAAAAAAAAGAAAAAAAAAAGAAAAAAAAAGAGGAAAATCTAAAGCGAGAACAAGAAAAAGAATTTACAATAACAAGTTAAAAACTGTCATTAAAAGATAAAAAGGAAGAAGAAAGAAAGGAAGAAAGACGGACAAAAAAAAAAAGGAAAAAAGAAAGAAAGAAAGAAAGAAAGAAAGAAACAAACAAACAAAGAAACAAACAAAGAAAGAAACAAACAAACAAAAAAAGAAGTGATAACAAGAGCGTGCCTGCTGCGGCTCTGCCCACGCCACAGATTAGAGGTGGGAGGAGGGGTCTCCTCCACACCAGAAACTGGCGAAACAAAAAGGGGGAAATCAGACAAAGCATAGACCCACCCTAAAAAAAAAAAAAAAAAAAAAAAAAAAAAACACGAGGACTTGGGCATAACTCAGCCCTTGGCACAGGCAGGGGGTACTATGGGGGCTGGACAGGCCGCACAATACCATGTGGGCAGGGTAGTACCATCTGGTTGCGGTCACTCTATGGGGGGTGGGGCATACCATGTGCGCCGGATGGTACCAACACACACTGGGTCGGAAAAAAAAAAAAGGGAAATTTACATCTGTACCCCATTGGGCAACCCCATGTGGGCAAGATGACACCATGTGGTTGCGGTCCCACTGTGGGGGGTGGGACATACCATGTGCGCTGGAAGGTACTACCAGCACACACGGGCCCCAAAAGAAAAGGGAAGCTTGCATCGGCACCCCATTTAAAAATGGGAATTTGTGTTTATACCCAGTCCCAGCACCCAACTTGCATCCATACCCAGGAAACTGCCAACGGAAATTATTTGCATGCCCCCCAAAAAAAAGGGGTGGACCCAGGTCAGTGACCAACTACCGGAATGCTCACATGGTATTGTGGACCATGCTGTTGGAGAGCGAAATTATCACAACAGCATGGTCCACCTCAGTCTCGTGTAGGTCCATAATTTGCACCTACCTGTAGTCCACCTCACTCCTGGGCATGCAAATAATTTGCCCTGGGTATCCCAGGAATTATGGACCTACACAAGACTGAGGTGGACCATGCTGTTGGAGGGCGAAATTATCCTCATACCCAGGGCAGTTGAGCCACACAACATCCCCTGGGATATTAGTATATTAGTATTAGTACTGTTATACCCAGGTACCTGGCCACTAGAAAAGAGGATTGCATCCAGTGCCTGAATTCCTGGATCTCTACAGTAGTCATGTACAGATTCTGGCATGTCATCCAAGCCTCGTTGCTAGTGGGACCTCTCTCGCTCTCTCTCTCTCTCTCTCTCTCTCTCTCTCTCTCTCTCCCCCTCTCCGCGTGTGACAATGCGTGTGGGGGGGGGAAGAGAGCGAGAGAAAGAGGGCACGAGGTCCCATTTGCAAAGAGGATTACATTAAGCATCTGACTAGACGTGTCTCACTGAGAGATGCAGAAATCGTGATGTTCTGCTGCTCTCCACAAACACGCCCAGATTTGGGAGCAACATCTAATCCTTACCAGCAACCCCCACCACGCAAGAGAGAGAGAGAGAGAGAGAGAGAGAGAGAGAGAGAGAGAGAGAGAGAGAGAGAGAGAGAGAGAGAGAGAGAGAGAGAGAGAGAGAGAGAGAGAGAGAGACTGCATACATCACAGAACGTCGGACATGTATCCGGCCGGGATATATGATGTCCAATGTTCTGTGGTGTGTCCAGGATCTCTCTCTGTCTCTCTCTGTCTCTCTCTGTCTCTCTCTGTCTCTCTCTGTTTCTCTCTCTGTCTCTCTCTCTCTCCGTCTCTCCATCAGGAGAGTACGGGAAGAAAGAGGGGGAGGACGAGAAGAAGAATGGGGAAGAGGGGGAAGAGGCGGAAGACATGCATTTCAAATTCCAAATTCCATCTCGGTGTGGTTACAGCCACCATTTTGTCAGCCCTGTCCCTGGCCATGAGCATAACTTTTGTGGTCCCGGACAGAGGCCCTGAGGAGCCGGGTATCTGTGCAATTTCACACAGGGGAAAAGTTGGGTACTACGTTAAGTTGAACAGCGCCTGGGTATAGATGCAAGTTGGGCGCTGGGACTGGATACCGATGCAACGTTCCCAGAAAAGAAAAACAGGACACGCACCAGAAAAGAAAGAAACACCCATGGCCGACATCAGGTAGACGTCGGCCCCATGCACTGCCAAGCATTGCTATGCAGGGTGGGCCGTAGAAGTATGTGGCCTTGCTGATACTATGTGAACTGGGTCGCACTAAATGACCTCCATTCATGGTAATGTACAAGGACTTCCAAGTCGGTCAGGTGCATGATCTGACCATCTTTTTGGTAAGGTACATGGGGTGCCCTGTAAGTTGTCAGGTGCATAATCTGAACCTATTCTGGTCACAAGTTCAGGTGCATTTTTGACAGGGACTCCATAGTCACTCCAAAATTTTCAGGGTAGTCTCCGCAAAAAGAGACTTTAATACTCTACGATGCTCTCGCAAGAATGACGCACGTCGCACTCCCTCGCACCAACGCCGCAAAGCCGCTCCGTCGAATTCCACACCACCCACTAAACACACTTCCACGCGAAGAGCTGTGCAGTGCCGAGCAATTATGCGTGTTTCATCCCATCGGACTCGTCAGTGGCCAGACACACCCAAAAATAAGAGACGTGGTCGCACCGATGGCAGTATGCGCCTGGGGGTAACCCATAACCCAATGCTCTTCCACGACCATGGTAGCCTGTACGAATCCTTTGCTTCTTGCTGCTTTCAAATGCCCTCTCTGCTGCCTGGTGTTCTGGTGTGATCCGCTCTTCTGGCTGCTGTCGTTCTTGCCTAAGGGAATGACCAACTGGCGCTACGCAAGTGCCACGAAAGCCCGACCCTGGACATTCTAAAGACCAGGTTCAGGATTTCAAAGCACGGACATAGCAGGCGCCCCCTGTCCCGAATTTCTTGACGCGGTTCTATTTACAACGCAGAGCCTGCGATATCATCTACACGTGAGAACTCGATGGCAGTGCATCGCCATGACAGACTTCAATGCTGAACAGAAATGAATGATGTCTGTCCGTTACACCTTCCATTTAACACCCGATGTCAAACATCAGACATTCTCCCAAAGGTCTTTATCCCTTGTACCTTATCCTCTCCAAAGCTCCTCTCTCCTCTCTCCTCAGAGTCTTGTGTGACATACGTACAGAACGGATGCTACTAATCTGTTTCTGAAACATGCCATCGTTCAAAACCTGTACGAATCCTTTTCTTCTTGCTGCTTTCGAATGCCCTCTCCGCTGCCTGGTGTTCTGGTGTGATCCGCTCTTCTTGCTGCTGTCGTTCTTGCCTAAGGGAATGACCAAGAGAGGGACTGGGCTTTGAGAGGGATGAGATAGCATGGAGTGGGCCCCCAATGGGGTAAGACAGGATAAGACGTGATGGATTCGGATGGGGTGGGTAGGATGAGAAGGGGTTTGGACAGGATAAGGTGGGAATGGAGATGAGATGGGACAGGGATAGGGACAATATGGGACTGGGGGACAGGATGGGGACGGGACGACGGCGGAACAGGGACAGGATGGGGACGGGACGAGGACGGGACAGGGACAGGATGGGGATTGGAATGGCAATGGGAGAGAGAAAGGGAATGGGAGATATAGCGAATGAATAAGGAAGAGAAGAGACAAACGTGTGACCGAGCAACACGAGCATTCTACAAAGGAATAAGCCCAGAGGTCAAATTTGACCAATTTGACCAATTTGACCAGTTTGACCAATTTGACCAATTCTACAAATGAATAAGCCCAGAGGTCAAATTTGACCAGTTTGACCAATTTGACCAATGCTCAAACGGTCAAAGGGTCTAATATAATTTGACCAATGATCAAATGGTCTAATTTGGTCAACTCATCATTGGTCAAATTAGACAATTTGACCGTTGGTCACAAGATTTGATCAGTGGAACAAAGACTGGTGAGGTGGATCAATAATGAGACGTTGAACCGACGACGGATTGATGCGCAAACAAATCTACGAATGAATGCACGACCAGAACACCAATAAGTAGCAACGGAGAGAGAAATGTGCGTGTGTGAAAAACCAACTGACCAAATGAAAACGAAGGGAGTAACGGAATGAGCCAGGGAGCAATCGAACGAACAAGTAAACGAACGAGCGAAGTAAAAGACAAACGAACAAGGACAGGCAATCCTGACGAAGAGGAAACAAGGACACGGAAACAAACAAATAAGAGAACAGGCAGGTAATGGTGGAATACACAGCATGCAAAAGCTGCTATCGACGCAATTCCAAAACAAAAATCAAATCAAATCGAAATCCATTGTTGAGCCATAATAAATTTAATAATCATGTTCGCAGCACTTCCGCAGAATGAGTGCTAACAAGAACCTTTGTCCCGAGAGAAGGAAGGACAATCTCTCTCCAAGGTTTATAGAGCCGGATTACAGACATGACATCAAGCTCCAGCTCATGACCGAACTTGGCATGGAAGAACACATGAACATGCGGTGCCTGCTGTGAAGAGAGAGAGTTTGAATGACCTGACTCCCGCTCAATTGGGTCCACAAGCTGCTTATTTGTCCTTACTTGCGAACTACGATTCCAAGATGTCCCACCACCTTCCCCTCCGCCCCTGCCACATCGATTGGCTGAAGTAGGATTGCAGTTCCAATCCGCCGGACACCGCAATACTGCACACACACACTTCAGCAGATTCGCTTCAAGCGACTTACGAACAATGCGCAGATCAATGGAATTCTCCAGAAGGAAACCAGAAGTTTCCCAATTCTTCCCGCTGGCGGCGGTAGACTCTTCCATCGACTTTGCCTTCGACAACAAAAACTGTTGTTGCCGACGCTTTTCGTCTTGCAATGCCTTCTGTAGTGCACCGAAAAGAGAGGATGGCGCTGCACGGCAACCCTCTCCTGGATGGCCACCTCTGCCTCCGCGTCCTCTCCCTCCCCCTGTCCCTGCTGCAGGTAGAGCCTCCTCCTCACCCGCTCCCGCTCTGCTCTCGCTATTCCCCCACAAGGGCCTCGATTGCTTCAGTCGATCGCGGAGCTGAGCCGCAACTCCAAGCACAGGTGCCACCGGATCATCTGAACCCCTCTCTCTCATGTCGCTGCTCGTCTCCGAACTTCCCGGGCAGCCACTTCTCACACTGGACGTTTTCGTCTTATCGAGCAAAAGGCTGGCTACTCTCACACCTCTGCACTCTGTGGAGAATAGCCGTACCTTGTCAGATGTTGCAGGCTTGCCACCGTCTTTGTGCCTCGAGGACAGACCGATCTTATCGGCCACGTAATCCTCTTCATCATCTGGATACTCTGCCATTGGGCCGCTTTCGATATTTTCCTCTACCTCATGTGAAGCTCCTCCCCCATGTGAAGCTCCTCCACCATCGCCGTGCTCATGTGAACTACCCGCCAATAATCGACTTGTCCTATCATGAACGCCGCCACCTGAAGTCTCGACTGACAGAGTACGAGAGCTAACAGCATCGTGATCGGCAGGACGGTGGGGATGCTCTACTGTGCAGCAGTGTTGCCCCTCGGTTCGGTTGTTTTCGGTTGTACCACGCACACAAATCGGTTCAACAGGATTTTCGCAATGCTGTGACTGATGATGATGTTTTCTCCCCTCCATGTGAAGATCAGTGCCAGATCTAGCAGCGATACGATTGGCAGGGTGCTGAAGATGCTCTACCCTGGACAATCGTTGATGCGGAATCCGGTCGCCTTCCATACTGCCACCTACAGTTGCCTGATTGACAGGACCGAGATAACATTGTGACTGGTCTTGTCTTCTCCCCTCCACCTGAGCATCACTGTTACACTTAGCAGCGAGGCGATCGGCAAGATGCTCAAGATGCTCTACCCTACACCATCTTCGCCCCTCGGCGTGATCGTTTTCTCCACTTCCACCTACAGATATCTGACCGACAAGACTTCGACCACACTGCGACTGATGCCCACCTCTCCCCTCTTTCTGAACATCATTCCTAGAGCTAACAGCAAGCTGATTGACATGATGCGGAAGATGTGCTACCCTGTCTCTTCTCCTTCCCTCCGCCTGGTCATTTTCTCTACTGCCATCTACAGCAATCCGATTGCTCAGGGTTTGGTCCCACTGCAACTCATGCCGTTTTCCCCCCTTCATCTCAGCACCAGCTTCCGGGTTTAGAAGGGCCTTTGGCTTACCTCGCGCAGCCGTTGGATGTTGAAAATGATGCTCTACCCTGTGCCATCTCTGCCCCTCAGTGTGGTTGGCTCTACCCCCACTCACAGCAATCTGATTCACAGGTATTTGATCACAGCACTGAGATTGCCTCCGTCTTGTCTCCTCCGTCTGAGCATCGGTTTCGGGGCTAAGGAGGATTTTAGGCTCACCTCTTTCGGCCGTCTGATTAGCAGGCAATGTGTCACGGTAAGATGCATGTTGTGCCCTTTCTTCAGCATGATCGTCTTTTCTATCGCCGCTGATAGCGATCCCATCGGCAGGGTGCACCTCAAGGTGCTGCTCAAACTGTGAGCGGCAGTGCCGTCTTTCCTCAAGTGCATTACTTACGATCCTAGGAATGATGCCTTTGGCCATCCGACTATATGAATGCTGCTCTCTGTCCAACTGAGACCGCAAGTCTCGTCTCCCTTCCGATTGGTCCAGCTGGGACAGTCTTCTCCCCTCCCTCTGCCCCCCCCACTGGGACTGTATTCTCCCCTCTATCTTAAGGTCCAACTGCGACTGTCTTCTCCCCTCCCTCTGATTACCTGCCGTACTTTCGATTACCGTATCCATTTGGCAATCGGAGTGCATGGGGCTCGTCAGATCCTGAAGCAACGTGCGACCTTGACGACCCTGACTTGAGAGCAATTTATTCTGTGTATCGTTCATGCAAGACTCATTCTGTGTCTCCTTCATGCAGTTCGACTTTGTGCCATCGTGCAGCTGAGAAGAGGGGGACACTGCTTCTCTGGGAGCAGGCGGCTCTGATTCACGCCATTGACTCGTAAGCATGTCCATCAATCTCTGAATGCCGCCTTTATGGTTTCCGGCTGCAGTGCATCTCGCTCCACAAGAATGCGTCTGTGGAGCATCCACTGGACCATCCTGGGGTGCAAGAGATTGGCCTGATGATGTCACCTTTGAAGAAGACAAATGGTGGTTGCCGGCAATCTGTGTCGGCTGTACAAGTGGTGTGTCGAAATCTCCTACAGCGTTGATGTCATCCTCCTTCGGAAATGCTTGGAACTCGTCCACATTGTAAGCAGAGGGCAAATCCTTACGGCGCATCTCCTCAAGTTGCCTTTGAAAGGCTGTCACGGATATCTGACGGTCATCAGTGCGTTTGGTCTCTTCTATCCTACGGTTGGAAGGGCAACCACTGGCAGTGGTATCTTGTGCTACTACCTCCTCACGCTCACTTCGTTTATAGTCGAATCGCTGTTGAGAGTGCGCTTGCTTTACAGTGGAGTGATCATCTTTGCGCACAACAAAGCGATCATCCTCGCCCATAGGAAGAATATTTCCTCCTCCTCCAGGTGGTCTTCCAGACGCTGGGATCGCTGTGTTCAGCATGGTATCAGTTTTTTTCTCCTGAATAAGCCGAGGCGCTGGATCTCTTCCAAGTCCACTGAAATCATTTACCTCGTCATTTTCCTCAACAACCACTGACTGGAGGTTACCTTTTCCAGGTGACCTGCCGGAGACTGAAATCGTTATGTTCGGCATGACGCCAGTTTTCTCCCGCCTACGCCGTGACACTGATGCATGTCGAAGTTCACCGAAGTCGTTGACGTCGTCTTCGTCAGCAAAGACGGACAGGTTCCGTTTGCTAGGTTCAGATGCTGCGGAGAAATCCTCACCCCACATCTTCAACAGTTGCAACTGGCAGGCAGCCCCAGAGCTCCGGTGGACATGGTGTCTCTTGGCCATGGAGTCCTCCTCCCCACCCCCATGGCATAAGCCAGCAGCAGACATGTTACACCCTTGGCTCTCCCTCATTCGCTTCCCTTTCCATCTATTTTTAGTCGGCAGCAGCTCTTCATCATTCTCAACGAGTTCGTTGACCCAAGTAGCCAATGATATCCCTCTGCCACTTCTGCTTCCCCACAGATTGGATGGTGCCACTGCTGCTGCCGTGGGCAATGGAAGAGAGGTGCTATTCTTAGAGCGCTCGTCAAATCCACTCCCCGATAAGGACGATGTGGCCATTTTGCGGACAGAAACACTACTGCACAGACGGTAAGTCCAATAGTCGGACGGGAAATGCTACCAGGTTAAAGCCTGGTCGCAGGTGATGCCGCTATGATGGTAGGTCCAATAGACAGACCGGGAGGTGCAATCAGGGTATAGCTAGGTTGCTGGCGATACTATTTACATGTCATTTATCCAGCTCCTGCCTTCCTCAAGTGCTCCTCTCTTCTTGTGCGTGTTAAACGAATGGAGGTTTGTTATCTTCATCCAATTTCAGCTTGCCCTTGAAAGAACCATCAGCAGAGGGAAGGTAGCATCACTGAACCACCCAACCCATCCACAGCAAACAAACACCCATGCTGTTTCCAGCATCAAGTTCATTGCTGCTTAGTTAGGAGAGCTCATAAAACTTGAGACTTCATTAATTAGACACAAAACTTTCCAGTGTGATTAAAGCACTGGCCACCAGGGTAGGGCCTGCCTATACCTCAGTCCGCACAAACTTTACAGAGAGAAAAAAAAGAACTTCACAAATTCCTGAACTCAGGTTGCATCATTCATTTCCTGAATGTGGGTAGGTTGTTGCATGGCTCCTTATCTTCAACACTACCCATCGGTCACACCCCTTCCCCCCTACTCCCCCAACCCCCCTTACCGCACCCGATTTCCATCACCTTCCTTTGTTAGTCATTTTCTGCAACCTCCACTCGCATGTGTGTGAGCCGGTGTTTCATTTGGGTGGGGACCCCTGATCTCGGTGTTCCATGGCACCGATACACGCAAGATGTTGGACTCGTCTGGTCCCGGGGTCTCCTGACCTCCTGACCTCTGACACATAACTCTATTCAAAAAAGTCCTGCATCCTGCAGCCTCAATCAGAACACAGACGACCCCACGAACAGCACAGTTTTTTTTAACCCGCCTTCTGTATCTTTCACATTTCGACATGACGTGGTTTGCAGCAATTGCACACACACTGTACCTCCCTACTGTCTTCACCCGAATATAGAATGCCCGGTTATTATAGCAGCATTTGGCACAACTTTTAAGTCCAGATGCAGCGATAATTACCAGGCGTTCTATTTGGGTGAAGATGGTAGCCCTCATATCAGTGTACGATTGACAATGGAGTGGAAGATGCAGAATGACTGAGTACTGTGCAACAGCTCAATGGCACTTTTTCGCAAGCAATCAACCACTGGCGGGATCACCTATGGGTGGCCTTTGGTGACCATTGATCAAGTACCCATTGTCATTCCACATCATGACACGTTAGCGATCGGTTTCAGTGCTCGGGAGTCTAGACTGTTGGGCATGTGCGTAGCGTAGATAGAAGTGCGTGTTTACTACCGCCTTCGCCCGGATCCCCATATGAAAGTCTGTATGTCAGATATGAAAGTCTGTCTAGGAGTGGGTGTTTACTAGCGTCTTCGCCCAAATCCCCATATGAAAGTCTGTCTGTCGTACAGTACTGTTGTTTTCACATTGCCATCACGAACTTCCTGTCTAGGAGCTCCTCCAGCTGATGTTTTCTTTATAAAATACAAGTCGACTCGGAGCGGCAAAGCCGCACCCCAATGAATCTCCGGCTATAAAATGGGAAGATGCAGCGCCATAACTTTTTTTCTTTCTGCATGTCGAGAGCAGTGGAGTGGCCTCCCTCCCTCCCTACCTCTCTCTCTCTCTCTCTCTCTCTCTCTCTCTCTCTCTCTCTCTCTCTCTCTCT